AACTTCACATAAGAGCTTCTTCACTCATCTAAACAGTGTAGCTATTCCTCAAACCCTATCTAAAGCACTTAGCAAAGAGGAATGGAGGCATACTATGAAAGTAGAAATGGAGGCCTTGAAGAAAAATAAAACATGGGAGATAGTAGAGCTGTCTAAAGGGAAGAAACTAGTAGGATGTAAATGGGTATTCACGGTAAAATATAAGTCTGATGGTTCTATCGAACGTTATAAGGCTAGGCTGGTGGCCAAAGGCTACACTCAAACATATGGTGTGGATTATCAGGAGACATTCACACCAGCAGCAAAAATGAATACAATAAGAGTGTTGTTGTCTCTAGCAACCAACTATGATTGGCCATTACAACAGTTTGATGTGAAAAATACATTTCTACATGGAGACCTTAGGAAGAAATCTATATGGAAGTTCCACCTGGCTTCAGTATGAATCTAAAAGCCAATGAGGTGTGTAAACTCAAAAAGGCTTTATATGGGTTTAAACATTCTCCTTGAGCATGGTTTGGGAGATTCACTAAAGTAATGTTGCGTATGAACTATAGACAGAGTCAAAGGGATCATACACTATTATTGAATTATGTACATTAATTAATTAATTAATTAGGAGATATTGTTTAAATTAGGAGATATCGCATATCTTTCCTAGTTTAGGGGGCAGTTCCTATTTTTTAAGAAAGATCCTAGGAATATCTTGAGGATAATTTCTCTATCCTATTAGGGTTCCTAGTTTCCCGATTCTGTTAGCCACGGGATCTAGGTCTTTTGTAACCTATTTATACTCCGGTTTTGTACCAATTAAATCAAGAAAGGATTTATATTTTTTCCTCAGAAACTTACATGGTATCAGAGCCTGGTTTAGGACTTATCTCTGTCCGCCATGGCCAAGAATCCAGAAAACCTTCCTTCAACCCAAACCGTACCCTCTGCCTCTTCTAATAATGCTGATTTCAACCCTAATGCTTCCATTCAAATTACTACCGTACGATTGAATGGAAGGAATTTTCTAGAATGGGCCCAATCAGTAAAACTAGCCATAGATGGCCGAGGAAAACTAGGGTTTCTTACAGGGGAGGAACCAAAGCCGAAGGATTCTGACCCTTCATTCCAAAAGTGGAGGTCTGAAAATTCACTCATCACTACATGGCTTCTCAATTCCATGGAGGAATCAATCCGGAAGCCATATCTGTTCAAACCGGAAAGCCATATCTGTTCATGTCAGCCCAAGAAGTATGGGAGGCCGTGCGTGAAACCTACTCGGACCTGGAAAATTTTTCACAAGCCTTTGAATTGAAGACTCGGCTGTGGAATTCCAAGCAGGGGGAGGCAGATATCACTACGTATTACAACAGGATGTTGATACTTTGGCAGGAATTAGACCTCTGCTATAATGACGAATGGGAGAATCCCAAAGACCTTGCTAGGTTTAAAAAAAGGGAAGAAATTGATCGTGTTTTTTTATGTTTTTAGCAGGGGTTAATGCAGGATTTGACGATGTTAAAGGGAGTGTTCTAGGCAGACGTCCTCTTCCTACGATGTTAAAGGGAGTGTTCTAGGCAGACGTCCTCTTCCTACAATCCGTGAAGTTTTTTCTGAACTTAGGCAGGAAGAAGGACGAAAGAGAGTCATGACTGGTTCATTCTTGCCACCAGCAGAGCCTGAAAATTCAGCCTTAGCAGTCCGTGGCAATGAAGGCGACCCAGATAAGAAAAAGAAGCCGTGGTGTGACCACTGCAAACGGCACTGGCACACCAAAGTTTCCTGCTGGAAGCTTCATGGGAAACCACCTAATTGGCAGCCAAATTGGAAGAAGAAACAGGAGGGAGGCAAGACGTTTAACACTGTGACTGAGACTACTCCAGAGCCACCATCTACCTCGGTACAACATCCATTCACCAAGGAACAAATTGAGCATCTTCTAAAACTCTTTAAGTCTCCACAAATTTCTAATTCTCCTTCTACCTCTTATGCTCACCAAGGTAATCAAGCTCCTTCTGCCCTCACTTCCTCAAATATTTCTGGCCCATGGATCATAGATTCTGGTGCCACATATCATATGACCAGTTGTTCCCATTTATTTTCCACTTACAGCCCTTGTACAGGAAATAAAAAAATTCAAGTGGCTGATGGTTCGTTTTCAACCATAGCAGGGACAGGTTCCATCAAAATTTCTCCATGTTAACACTAAAAGATGTGTTACATGTTCCAAAATTGTCATGCAATTTACTGTCAGTTAGTAAATTAACTATTGACCAAAAATGTCATGCTAATTTCTTTCCATCTTACTGTGAATTTCAGGACATGGCCTCGGGGAAGATGATTGGCAATGCTAAATTAAGTGGTGGACTTTACTACTCTGACGATGGATCACTTCCTAAAGATTATGTTTCAAATACTTGCTTAGGTGTTATTTCTAGTTCTAGTAAGAATGACATTATGCTTTGGCATTTTAGCTTGGTCATCCAAATTTTTATTATTTAAAACGTTTGTTTCCTAGTTTATTCTCAAATAAAGATCCATCCCTTTTTCAATGCGAAATTTGTGCTTTAGCAAAAATGCATCGATCTCCATATATCCCTCGTCCGTATGTTCCTTCCAAACCTTTTTCTCTTATGCATAATGATATATGGGGACCTTCAAGAATTTCAACTCCTTCGGGAAAACGATGGTTTGTTACCTTTATAGATGATCACACAAGAATGACTTGGGTTTACTTGATGACACAAAAATATGAGGTGGAACACATTTTTAAAACGTTTTATAACATGATTTACACTCAATTTGAAACAAAAATCAAAGTTTTAAGAAGTGACAATGGTCGTGAATATTTCACAAAACATTTGAGTGTTTTTTTCTCACAAAATGACATTTTTCAGCAAAGCTCTTGTGTTGACACGCCTCAACAAAATGGCATTGCCGAAAGGAAAAATAAGCATTTGTTAGAAGTGGCTCGGGCATTGTTATTTACACATAAAGTACCAAAATTTTTTTGGGGAGATGCTGTTTTAACAGCAACTTTTTTGATAAATAGAATGCCTTCGAAAGTTTTGAATTTTGCCACTCCTATAAGTGAATTTTCCAACATTTTTCCCTAAACAAAAATTCAATCAACTCTGCCACTGAAAACATTTGGCTACACTGTTTATATCCACAATAAAGATGTAAACTTAGGAAAACTTGATCCTAGAGGAACTAAGTGTGTCTTCTTAGGATACTCTCCAAGTAAAAAATTTTTTGAAAAACAATCATTTTTTCAGCCTCATCTTCAGGGGGAGCACACACAGGTAGATTCGGCTTTAGGAGGAGATGAAAAAATAGTCTTTGACTTTTATGATCAAGGTGAATTTTTTTTTTTGAAGATTTTTCATCAGAATTTGCTCTCCAAAATTCGGATTTTTTGCAAAACTTAAATAATTCCAAAAATTTTGAAGAGAATCATCAAGAGAATAACTCTGCAGATATTTTAAATAATGAAAATTTGGCTCCTTCCAGTGTTAGTCCAATTAGAACAAGAAATAACACTGAAAACAGGTTTGGGAAAGTTTTCTCAAGAAGAGAACCAAAGTCAAGTGGATTGACCAATAACTTGCAGCATGGTCAAGAATCAACCTC